TATGTAGGGTATCCCCTTCCTTATAATAAAAAAAAAAATAGAGAGTTAATTAAGATACGTATTATTTACAACAAGGCGCCAATGAGGCATAGCAGCACAGTCATCATCTAAAATGCCCAAATTAAATCTCATCTGGTGGTGAAGCAAAGATGTGCAAACCCATTGGAAAGCATCTTGCCATAAAGTCAGCCGTAGAATTTTGTTCTCGGCAGATTCTCTGGAGCTGCCAAACTTTGAAGCAACGCAGCTATCTTTTGCACGCTAGAATTATATTATGAGCTACGGATGAGGGTGGCAAAGCGCTGTTAACGTACTTAGCTAACTCCATGGCGTCTGTTTCAAATACCACCTTTTTAATACCCATATAGGCAGCAAGTTGTATTCCTTTCAGAAAGGACCATACCTCTGCTTCCAAAGGTGAACATCTCCTGGTGCTATAAGCAAAACCATGCTTCCATGCACCAGTGTCGTCGCGAATTACGCCCTCGCACCCAGCTTTAGAAGAAGGTTGATTTACTGAGCCATCAATATTAACTTTCATAAAGCCGGTTTGTGGTTTAGTCCATGAAAGCGGCCTCCATGCTTGATCTTTCGGTACTCGGGAACCTCCTGCTTTAGTGTTAGGCTGCCACAATTTCATTCATTTGGGCTTTCAACCAAGATAGTTTGGCGTTGATTGGCATTACCCTATTATTAAAGATGGCATCGTTCTACCACCTCCATATCCACCAAATGGCTATTGAAAATAGGGTGTTGCTATCCAAAGGTTTCCTATCATCGTGTTTCCCTGTAATCCCCCTTTCGAACCAATCTTCAAATACAGCCTCCGTAATATTGCAGTGAATTGAGGGGAACAAAGACTCCCAGATCATCTTAGCTTCCGGACATTTGCGCAGAACGTGATCTATGTCTTCCACTTTATCATTGCAGCACCAACATTTGTCACAACTTGCAATACATCTCCTTACTCTATTTTTGTTTGTCATAATTCTATCATCTGCTACTAGCCAAAGAAAAAAACGTATCTTATTTGGAACTTTGAGTTTCCAGATGCTTGTCCACTTAGCAGCTTCCATAGCTACTGGACTGCCAATAGCTGCGGCTGCGTCATAAGCCGAAGAAACCGAAAAGAGGCCCGAGACTTCTCTATTCCACCGGATTGAGTCTTTCACATTTGGATCATATGCTAAAACACAAGCTACCAATTTGGACAGCTTTTCTTCTGGCACTAAATGGTTCAGAAGACTCCACTTCCAGCCATGGTTTGCATCCCAATATGTAGCCACCTTCCTGTTTATGGAAGCTGTGTATTCAATATTCAAAATAAACAGAGGCTACCTCTTATATAGAGGCTACAAGCAGAGAATACAGGAACAGTTACAACCAACCTAAAAATAATAAAGGAAACAGAATACCAAAAAAGGAGTTGAATAAAACTGCTAGGACTTATTCTTTCACACGCCCCCGCAAGATGGAGGAGCCATTGGAAACTCCAATCTTGTCCCAAAAATAAGTAAACAGGTGCCGCCCAAGAGGCTTAGTGAGTAAGTCAGCCACCCGCTAAGCACACCGTATATGTTGAACACATAGCGACCCATCTGCAATCCGTTCCCGCACGAAGAAGTAGTCTAGTGCCAAATGCTTCATTCGAGAATGAAACACAGAATTTTTACACACATATGTGGCACTCAAATTATCTGTAACCAGCTTCGGGGAACTAGGCAAAACCACACCAAGCTCAGACAAAAGATGCTGAATCCATAAGACTTCGGCAGCTGAGTTGGCCAGAGCGCGAAACTCAGCTTCAGTAGACGACCGAGAAACAGAACGCTGCTATACGGACTTCCAGGACACAACATTAGCACCAAGATACACCACATAAGCCGTAGTAGACCGGCCATCGTCACGAACACCCCCCCCCCCCCCCCTACGCCACAAGCGAGAGGGACGAACCTGAACGAAGAAGCAAACCATAATGTATCGTGCCTTTCAAATACCTCATCACACGCTTAACCGCAAACCAATGAGCTTCTGCGGGCTTGGACATGAATTGAGCAAGTTTGTTCACAGCAAACGCAATGTCTGGTCGAGTAATTGCCAAATATTGTAACCTGCCAATCGCCTTCCGGTATAACGTAGGATCAACCGAATCACCCCCTTGTCGAGACAAGTCCACTGATGAACACATAGGAGTAGACACCTCCTTCGCCCCCGCCATAGAGAATTGCTCTAAAATATCCACCACATACTGGCCCTGTGACAAAAACAAGCCAGTGGACGTAGGTACAACCTCCACACCAAGAAAGTGTGAGAGCACACCTAAATCCTTTAGGGAAAACCGAGCTGCTAGTTTACAGATAAAATATATAATTAATAAAGCCGTCATCGTTCCTAGTGATTACAATGTCATCTACGTACACCAGAAAATAAACCACCACACCATCTAGCTGATAAATAAATAAAGAAGAGTCAGCTACAGACTTTGAAAAACCAATAGAAAGCAGAAAACAAGACAACTCCAAATACCAAGCCCTTGGAGCCTGTTTCAATCCATAAATTGCTTTCTTCAATCTGCACACGTGATGCTCTAGTCCAGGTTGAACAAAACCTGTCGGTTGCTCCATGTAGACATCCTCATGCAAAGTTCCATTTAAGAATGCATTATTGATGTCTAACTGACGTAATAACCACCCCTGTTTCAAAGCAATAGTGAATATAATACGAATAGTAACTGGCTTGGCTACCGGACTAAAGGTCTCATAATAGTCGCGACCCGGTTCTTGCGAGAATCCTTTAGCCACCAATCTAGCCTTGAACCTGTCAATAGAGCCATCTGGTTTGCGCTTCACTCTAAAAAATCCACTTACAACCTACAGTAATATTATCAGCACGGGGAACAAGTTCCCATGTGCGCACTAAGGCATCATATTCTTCCACCATCGCCAATTTCCACCTAGTATCTTGCAATGCTTGAGTAACGGTGCGTGGCTCAACAGATGGAGATAACGGATGCACAGTGACTACGTTCACAAACTTGTCATTAAAATACCGCGGATTCGGACGCCTCGTTCGTTGGGACCTGCGACCAACAGGCTGGTGTGATTGTGCCTGACAATGTAACTCACCAGATAGATTAGACACAGAATCAGAGAGAGCAACAGTAGACGCTTCTGGTTGAGGCACGAAACTCGAGGTAGTCAGAACAGGCAGGTTATGTGAAGAAATTGAATTTTGTGAAATAGGTGAGTTTTGTGAGACAATTGGTGGACTTTGGGAGGCAGCATGTGAATTTAGTGAGGTGGTAGGTGAATTTTGTGGAGCAATAGGTATATTTTGTGAGGCAGAAGGTGAATTTTGTGAGATGGTAGGTGTATGTTGGGAGGTAGCAGGTGAATTTTGTAAAGCAGGCAACATAACCCGTGTAACTTGTGGTACAGACGAAGACAACGTCGAGGATAGAGGATATTGCACTGGCGAAATTGATGACTATAGAGACTGACTGGAGGTGGAGGGAGTTGAGGAAAAAGGAAAAACATCAGAAATAAAACGAACATGCCAAGAGAGATAGACTCGCCCCGTAGAGAAATCTAGACATTTGTAGGCCGACTGGCTTAAGGAATAGCCTAGGAACACACATGGAACTGACTTGGGTTGTAACTTTGTGGGGAAATACGGTTTGAGCCAAGGGAAACACAAGCAACCAAACGGTTGGATCTTTCGTAAATTTGGTTCTTTGTGAAGGAGTTTGGAATACAGAGAAAAATTTGCAAGTGTGAAAGTGGGCATACGGTTTATAAGATATACCGCTACCTGGACCGCATAAGACCAATAGACAATAGGCATGGATGCGAAATGCAACAACGACATAGCTGTTTCTACCACATGCCTGTGACGTTTCTCGGCCAAGCCATTGTGCTCGGGAGTATGAGGCGGGGAAGTGAAGTGAGAAATGCCATGTTTGTTAAAAAAGTGTGCTAATTTTTTGTACTCTCCACCATTGTCTGAGAAGACAGAGATAATTCGACATCCAAAGTAATTTTCTACCATTTGCTTAAACTGAGGGAATATGATAGAAACATCAGATTTATATTTTAGGGGAAAAAGCCAAATATATCGTGTGTAGTGATCAACAAAAATGACATAGTATTTATAACCACCTACGGAGACAGTAGAGGTAGACCACACATCTGAGTAAACTAACTCAAGAGGTTTGGAACTTGACATACTGTTTACTGAGAACGGCAATTTATGGCTCTTGTTCACATGACAGGAAGTACATGAAAAGGAGGTAAGAGCATTAGAGTCATAAATTAATTTATTACAACTCATAATAGAAGCAAAAATCTTATTGGATGGATGTCCGAGCCTGTGATGCCAGTCCGAAACTGAAACTTTTGACAAGACATTAACCTGTGGACGACACGGTGCACGAAATTGATAAACATCATGGTCTATCCCCCCCAGCATTAGACAAATCCTTGTTTGTCGATCCTTGACAACAAAATATGTGTCAAAAAATTCAACAGACACTGAGTTAGACTTGCAAAGTTGGGAAACAGAGATTAAATTACGTTGTAAGTGTGGAACACACAAGACATTAGATAGAGTGAGGGGACAAACAGAAGAAGGCAAAGACAATTGACCAGTGTGCGATTAGGGACTTACCATTGCCGAGCACAATCTCACTGCAGTCGGGACGGGTCAGTCACTGTACGATGCGAGGCTCCCGAGTCCATAATCCACGGTTGCTGTGTCGTAGTAGTAGTAGATGTTGTATTGACCATTGGAGCCTGGGCAGATTGACTGAGGGGATCATGGACGCTAATGTTGTTGTCACGGAGGAACTTAGCAAGTTTGCGACAAAAACGAGTGTCATGACCCGGATAATCACAAAAGTTGCAGTAACGGTTGTTGCGAGTGGTGTTTCCACGGCCAGAATTTGGACGTCCAAACTGAGCAGAAAAACCACCTCTACCACGACGATTTTGTTGTCCAAAATTTTAAGAGGTTGATCCTGACGATTGTGGAAAGGTATTAAATCGGCGTTGAGTGGCATTCGCTGTAGCAATTAGAGACTGGTGAGCACCCTCATTGTCTTTTAACAGACGTTCATAATCAGTAAGGACATCACTTAATTCACTAAAAGAGATTGGTGTAGTCCGTACGCGGACAACAGCAACGATAGGATTGTATTCATCACCCAATTGAGTAAAGATATGAACAACTAGATCCTCTTCACTAATCGGATTTTGAGCAAGGGCTAAATCATCCGCGATGGCACGCATATCGCGCATATAGGTATCAATAGAGCGACTCCCTCTTGGATTTTTCGCAAGCTTTGCCTTCAATGAGACTATGCGGCTTCTGGAAGAGGCAGCACAACAGGTTGCTAAGCGTGACCAAGCATCTGTAGCGGAAGAAGCAGAAGAGATAACTGGTTGTAGAGTTTCTGAGACACTGCCTAAGAGAGCACTCAGTATTATACGATCTTGTCTGTTCCAAATTCTATAAAGGGGATTAATGGTGTTTGTAGCTGCATCGGAAAGTCGTTCCGGAGCTTTGATAGAACCATCAACAAAGCCAATAACATCAAGGCCAATGAGAGTAGACTCAACTTGATTCCTCCATATTGGGAAATTGGCATTAGTTAATTTAATGGGAAAATGGGTTGGAGCATTGAGATGAACAATCTGGGTGGTTTGTGTGATAGACATGCATGGGGAGAGGAAAAAAAAACTCTTTAGAGTATTAGGCTCTGATACCATATGGAAGCTGTGTATTCAATATTCAAAATAAACAGAGGTTACCTCTTATATAGAGGCTACAAGCAGAGAATACAGGAACAGTTACAACCAACCTAAAAATAATAAAAGAAACAGAACACAAAAAAAGGAGTTGAATAAAACTGCTAGGACTTATTCTTTCACACTGTTGATAACAGCCACAGGGATTTCACTTAGAGCATTATCCTTGAGAAGTCTATCATCTAACCAATTTTCTGTCCAGAACCCCTTATCCTCCCCATTTCCAACCTGCTTGCAAATACCGCTTTGCAATATTGGCACTGCTTTCAAAATTTCCCTCCAAGCATTCGACATATTCGCCTTAGGTTGCCAATGTGAGTAGTCACTTGATGATGCTTCGTATTTTTCTCTAAAAATTTGCACCCACAGGCTTTCATCTTCATGTAGTAGCCTCCAGCCAAGCTTTGCCAAGAGAGCTAAATTCATTTGCTCCAGGATTCCTAACCCTCCCCAGGCCTTGCTTATAGTCACAACATCCCACTTCACTAGATGCCATTTCCTCTCCCCTTCTTTACTACCCCACAGAAAGTTACAGATAAGCCTTTCGATGGATAGAACTATTCCTGTTGGCAACAATGTAGTCTGCATAGCATAAAATGGTATGGATGAGAATTGCACTAACACTTGCCTGCCTGCAAGCGTGAGAGTTCTTGATTTCTATCTAGTTAGTCTAGCTTGTATCTTCTCTAGGATGCCCGAAAACGAGTCGTTCTTCAATCTTCCATGAATTGATGGAATACCTAGGTACTTTCCCAAATTATTCACACTTTGGAAATCAGCGGACCTCACAATGCTCTGCTGCACATTCGCTGGTGTATTTTTTGAGAAAAACACCTTGGACTTCTTTAAATTCACTCTCTGGTCAGAATTCGAACAAAAAAGGTCGAGGCAGTGTTTCATTTCCTCAGCTTGTTCGATTGATGCTTCCCCCAAAAAGGATCAAGTCATCTGCAAAAAAGATGTGAGATAAGTAAGGACCATTTCTTGCTAGTCTAACCCCTTTCCAATTGCCACTATTAACAGAGTCATGAATAATAATGTAGCTTCTGAAAACCACAACTTCCATTCCTCCTTGCATAATTCCCTATCAAGGCGGGCACCTTTAAAAGTCGTAGTATTGATACCCCTCATCTATGTAAATTTCGCACCCGCATAGCCAAGATCAATCAGCCCTTCTCGGAAGATCCAATCGTTGAAGTCAGAACATCTTGAGGCCTGAAAGCTCTCAATGTTGATCGCCTCTTCACGGCTTATAACAGAGTTGTAGTGTCTTGCCACAGGCCACGGTCTTGGTTGATCAAGGATTGGATCAAGCCAACATTTATTATTTGGGCATTATATTCTAATTCAATAAATATAATAAATAAGTGTTTTATTTATTTTATTTTCACTTTATTAATATTTGATATTAAGCGACACAATCTTCATAATTCTTCATTCTTAAGAGTTAAGAATATGAGTGACAAAAAATTTATTAATGAAGTATTGTAAAAATGATCTTAGTCATAGGAATTATAATTGGCATTATAATTCCTACAAGACTAGCACATTGTCCTACTTATGGTGAGTCTCATGCCATTCCGTATGAGATACGTAGAGAGGATATGTGGATGATTGTTAGAGAACAAGTCATTAAACAATGACTAACTACAACCTACCACATGGTGTTTACCTATGTTTCATCCGTATGTTGTATGTTACAAGTATGCAATAGTCCTTTGACTTGAGACGACATGGGGATGGTTCTCTTGTACATATGGTAGAGTAGTATTTGCCAGTATATGTCTTTGGTCCCTTTTTGGGGTTATAAGTATACTTGGTGGCCTAGTTTAGTTTTGTATGGAGACATGTGTGCGTTCAATAAAATATCCACCGCCTTGAGGTAACATGGTTGTTTTAGTTTATTCAATAATCTCACAACTAGAATCTTTGGCTAGAATATAATGAAGTTGGACTTTAGGTTATTAATATTGAATAGACATTTTATACTAAGTTTATGGGTTTGACCAAGTTTGACAATGACCTTTACTTAGTTCAGAACAAGTGTTGAGTGTAAGGATATTATTGGATTATATTTGTAACAGAAAGGTTCATAATAATATATTTTATTGTCAATTAGGTAGTCATGACATATTGTTAGATGTTATTCATGACTAACGAGTTATTTAATAATGAGTTATTAAATATTGTTCGTTATTGGTTTGACTATGAACTTAGAAAGTCACACTTTAATGATATGTGGTAATGCAAAGAGCTTTAAAAGAAATTGATAAAAGTTATTGATATTGAATTAATATGATGGTTTTATTGGGACTGGGTCCACCATAAACCGGATATAGAGATATAGAACCGGGGGGGGGGGGGGGGGGGGGGGGGGGAGAGTAATAGCTTTATTACCCGGGGCGCTAGGCCCAAAATAGTACGTACAAAGCTCGAGGTACAAGCCCAAAATGGCGGCCCAAATACAAAGATCATGGCCCAAGGAATGAGGGAACTAATAAATGAAATAAAACTAAATATGTTACCAATAGGACTAAAACCCTGGTCTGCTAACACGGGGTTAAAGACTCAAACCAATGGACCGGGAGGGGTTTGGTTAGTCAAAGGGTGCCTTTAAAAGGGAGGGAAGGGGGCCTATTTATATTGTTGAGGGATTCACGGATGGTTGACAAATGGACGGCATCTGGCAGCCTTTATTATGGACCACACACGTGTCCCCCCACTACCTTGCTTCCAGCGCACTCCCATGCATAAGTGGAGATTCCTACCCTTTAATACATAAGATCTTGATTGGCTTGGTGGTTTGAGACTTGTGTTATTATGCTTAAGGTTGTGGGTTTGATACCCCCTAAAAATAATTCTAATAATATTTTGCTCCAAGCTTCCTTCTTTCCTTAGCCTGATAGAATTCCATTATTCTTGTTGGGCCAACACCTCACCCATAAAGATGGACACCCCGTTTGGGCGGTTGAGCCGACTTTCCCAATAAAATGGTCCCCCCGGGGTCCCATATCTCCATCACAAGTCTCCACTTTCTTTAGGCATCTGGATGCCTGAAGGAAGTATAATTCAATACTACCACCTCTTCCCTTTCCCAAACTCAAATTCCAGTTCCCAAATTTTCCAGATACTTGTCGTTCCCCCACCATCATACGCTGCTGCCACACGCCACACTGCTACGCGCCACGCCATTATCGCGTGCCTCTGCCGCACACCGCACGTCGCATTGCCTGCTTCATCACCTAGTGTCGAGAGGTCAAGGTGACTCCTCCATTGTCGTGCTTCTTGGATGCTTCTTGTACTGGACATCCTCCTCGCTACTTAGTACTCGGCTTCATTTGAATATTCACTGGATCTCTTTGCTGCTTCACATTATTCTCCCTTGTTGCTTTGTTCTGCGCTGTTGATTTCTCCATGTTGTACCTTTTTTTTTTCTTTTTTTTTTTTAATTAATGCTTTAGCCATAGCCTTCACCCACTTTGGAGGGAGGGATTACCTTTCGCTTGGTGGGTTGAGCGCCCTTTGGAACTTGTATACTGCATGCCACAAAAATGCCCGCGGATTGCCTACCCTGCCATGCAAGTCTGCGCATGTGGGTTGCAATAACCCACACGCCTTAGCCACCAGAATGTAAGTGGACTGCCTATCTTGCCATGGAAGTCCGCGCATGTGAATTGCGATAACCCACATGCCCCGGCCACCAAAATGCATGTGGACTGCCTACCCTGCCATGCAAGTCCGCGCATGTGGATTGCAATAACCCACATGCCCCAACCACCAGAATGCACGCGGACTGCCTACCCTGTCATGCAAGTCCGCGCATGTGGGTTGCGATAACCCACACGCCTCAGCCCCCAAAATGCATGCGAACTGCCTAGCCCTGCAAGTCCACGCATGTGGGTTGCGATAACCCACACGCCCTAGCCACCAAAATGCACGCGGACTGCCTACCTTCCATGCAAGTCCGCGCATGTGGGTTGTGATAACCCACATGCCCCAGCCACCAATTATACACGGACTGCCTACCCTGCCCTGCGAGTCCGGTACGCGATCATCTGAACTGCCGTAGGGCATGCATAGCACATAGGAGCACATATTTGGGAAATAGTTGAGGTGTCCATATGCCAAGAATGCATAGCACATAGGAACACATAATTGAGGTGGCCGTAGGCTAAGCATGCATAGCACATAGGAACACATAATTATATTGAGGTGGCTGTAGGCTAAGCATGCATAGCACATAGGAGAACATAATTATATTGAGGTGGACGTAGGCTAAGCATGCATAGCACATAAGAGCACATAGTTTGGGAAAATAAACATAATCTTTACTGAACTAAGTCTAAAAGTATACTCACCAGGGTAGCGTCTTTGTTGACACAGAAAATTTGAACCCGACACGTGGACTGATAAAATGTGATTGGGCCAATGTTGGAATTGTTATTGGATTATAGAAATTAAATTGATTTAATTAGTCCAATCAAACTTGGTTTTGGCAAGGTTCGTTGTATTAGATAATTAATTAATTAAATTAAATTAATATTAGAGGAGTTTGTTGAAGGATTTTGGTTAGGCTTTTCACTATAAATAGAGCCTTCATTTTGATTCCAAAACACACTTGAAGAGTTGAAGAGAAGCTCTGGATTGAAGATCAAATCAAGCTCTGGATTGAAGATCAAACCAAGCTAAAGGATTGAAGATCAAATCAAGCATCCAAGAAATTAAACCAAGCTAAGTGGATTGAAGATAAAATATTTCGAACATTCAAGCTAAGCTAAAGTGGACTGAAGATAAACCAATTAAAGACCGGAGGCCCTTCAATGAAGATCAAGCAACAAAGCCCTTCTTTGAAGAACAAGCTGCGTTCCGAAGGCCCTTCAGCCAAAGTTTCAAGTCAAGTAAACCAAGTG